TTTTTTATTGAAATTAAACGCTACCTTGATATAAGGAGCGAAAAAGGCAGGCAAACATAACCGTAGTTTTGTCATTTTTATGACAACTGAGTTAAAAACGGTGCTGATATTTCATGGAGTTTTGTCGAGAAAAAGATTGTGAGAAAGGAAGTATATTTTGTCAGATAAAATTGAAAGTTACGTTTTAAAGCGCTTAAGCTTTTTTAATCTCATATTGATGTTGAACCTTAAGGGTTTATTTTAATTTCTTGGTCATTTAGGGAAAAGAACGAGATTAGTGTTTTTAATAATGGTAAAGGTATTCCCGTTGTGCATCATAAGGTTGAAAACATGTATGTTCCCGAATTAATTTTTGGTACTCTGTTGACATCATCTAATTACAACGATGAAGAGCGTAAAGTGACAGGTCTGGATAGCATTAAATGACAGATTTTTCTGCTGAGAAATATCCTACATTTTTTTGAACTTCAACATCTGATGACTTCTTAGGTTCCTATATTGTTTTTCAGGTGGCCGTAATGGTTATGGTGCCAAACTTTGCAATATTTTTAGTACGGAGTTTACTGTAGAAACTTCCTCAAAAGAATATGGAAAGTCATTTAAGCAGGTTTCATCTCCTTTCTCCAGAAGCTTCTTGAGAGTCATCTTATCATGATGAGGACGGTGTTCAGTTTTGTTTTTTTTCAGACGTGGAAAAATAATATGACTAAAGATAAAGATGCTACTATTAGTAAAGCAACTGGCGAGGATTTTACGCGAATAACTTTCAAACCGGATTTGTCCAAATTTAAAATGACCGAGCTTGATGATGACATTGTTGGTTTAATGTCTCGGAGGGCTTACGATGTTGCTGGTTCGACGAAAGGAGTTAAAGTCTACTTAAATAATAAAATGCTTCCGGTAAGAATGCTGTTTCGATAAGTCATTTCATTGGCGCGTAGGGATTTTTTTGCATCTTAAACAATATATCTTTAGGTCCAAGGTTTTAAGCAGTACGTTGAGCAATATGCGAAGCACAATTTGAATAGTGACGGTGAACCTTATAAGATTGCATACGAGCAATTCAGCGAGCGGTGGGAGGTTGCTTTGACTGTTTCAGAGAAAGGGTTTCAACAAGTTTCCTTTGTTAATAGCATTGCAACGACAAAGGTTTGCTTATAATTAATGATCTGTTTTTGGCCTATTACCTGCTTGATTATTTTGCTGACTTCTGCAGTAACATAAGCACATTGTTTTTTAGGGAGGTAGACATGTGGATTACATCACTGATCAGATTACAGCGAAGCTGGCTGAAACAGTCAAGAAGAAAATTGGGAAAGGAGGGGTCAACATAAAGCCGTTTCAGGTTTTTTTGTCTTTCTGCTGAATGTGGTGTTTAACGGTGGCGATTTTCTATCGGTTACACTATTTAGTGAGGAGTATATTTCTTTCTGAATAGGTCATTTCATTTTCCAGATAAAGAATCATATGTGGGTTTTTGTGAACTCGTTAATCGAAAACCCTACTTTTGATTCTCAAACTAAGGAAACCATGACTCTTCAAGCAAAAAGTTTTGGATCTAAATGTGAATTGTCGGAGAAATTTGTTAATGCGACGTTGAGATGTGGAGTTCTAGAAGCCGTGATGTCTTGGGTTAGGTTCAAACAACAAGAAAATCTCGACAAAAAATGCTCTGCAAAAAAGACAAGTAAACTGAAGGTTTGTATATTGCTCCTATTCTTGTTTCACTACTTCTGTTGACTAGGGTAGGACGGTAAAAAAAGTGAGATTTTTAGGGTGTTCCTAAGTTGGAAGACGCTAATGATGCCGGTACTAAAAATTCCGCTTTTTGTACCTTAATTTTGACGGAGGGCGATTCAGCAAAATCTTTAGCTGTCTCTGGCCTTGGAGTTGTTGGTCGTGATAGGTATGGCGTCTTCCCTCTTCGCGGTAAAATGTTGAATGTTAGAGAAGGAAGTCATTCGCAGGTTTATTCTTGATTATTTTTATTTAGAATATTGAATGAAATACAGTTTAAACAGTTTATATTGTACCTTCCCAATTTTGGTTTAAAATTTTTTATTTAAAAGACAGTTTTTTTTCCGCCTTTTACGTATTTCTGGTTTTTAGATTATGGAAAATGCTGAAATCAATGCTTTGCTCAAAATAATCGGTTTGCAATATCGTTTAAAGTATGACAAAGATGAAGACATGAAAACGTTGCGTTATGGCAAGGTTATGGTTATGGCTGATCAGGTTCAATTCTTACTGTTTCTTATAAGAAGTGTAGTAATATGGCCTATAACTGCATAATTGTTTACCACGCTTTATATTGAAGGATCAGGACGGTTCACACATAAAAGGGCTTGTTATCAATTTCATACACTACAATTGGCCGAACCTTATACGCCGAAATTTTGTAGAAGAATTCATTACGCCTATTGTTAAGGTTTTGTGCCAACTCTTTGCATCATTGCTTCATTTTTTTTTTTTTTTTGTAATTTGCAGAGTTTAGTGTTTTAATTTCCACTCAGGCCACCAAAGGTAAAGAGGAGTTTTCATTTTTTTCTCTTCCGGAGTATGCAGAATGGAGAAACAATACAGAGAATTGGAAGTCTTATCGTATAAAATATTACAAAGGTAAATTTTTCTTTTATTTTCTTTGAATGCAGTTTCTTTGTTTGACTTTTGTAAGTTACCGTCTCATTGTAGAAGAGGTTGCTGTGTAACATTATTTTTTCATTGTTATTTCTTTATTTATAGGTCTTGGGACTTCAACTTCGAAAGAAGCCAGGGAATATTTTACTGATATGGCACGTCATCGAATAAAATTCAATTATTCAGGGAATGATGATGATAATTCTATTGATATGGCTTTTAGCAAGAAAAAAATAGAGGAGCGGAAGGCATGGTTGACGAAATGGATGGCTGTAAGTTATTCTATTTTTA